TTTGGATAAGCAAGCAACTCCCCAAACTGAACATGCATGGCCCAACACCATCCAATCAAAATTGAAACCAGACAGACACACCAGTCAAAATCATGGCACTAATATTGCAAGAATTACATGAAGGTTGACACATGGTTTTATGCTTCACGGGTCACAACTGCCTACCTCTCCACTCACCTCACACTTCACAACCACAGATACCAGCACAACAGATCCAGGATCATTCCCACAAATCTCAATAAAACGTTCTTTGCCTACCACGCCACCTCAACTATCCCCACCAAGATGATTATCAATCATTTTAACATCACCACTGAACTGGCATCTGACAAGCTGCTATAAAAAATCTTGAAGGCCATCCAGGTGGCTGATTTAAATGAGGTAACTGAAGCCATTACTATTGACACCAATCACCACCATGCTACAATCTTTCAAAAGCACTGCCACCAATTTTATTTGAAACTAGCAGCTAGAGATAGTCAAGACATGTTCAAACTGTTTGCACCTTACAAACTTTGTGACAGATATCTTTATAAAGCTTATGACTGCACAGACCACTCTGATGTCACTCATATGTGTGAACATCTTTCCAGTTTCTAATGGTCACTCAAGAATTGCAACAAGATTTTACATTGATTACTGGTACCACCTGCAGGATTTCTTATAAGATTTTAAGAAAACAGAATAAGTGAACATTTCTTGTTATGCTTTTAGTTAAAATAATTGACATTATCTCTTGATCTCTTCTTCCCCAACTGAAAAAAAGAAAAAGGAAAGATTATTTTAATATGAATTATTAAGAAATAAGAAGTCAACAAATAATCTCATTCATTTCATTTATCTGTTTTCTTTTATTATATATTTTTTGGGTAACATAAATCCAAATTGGACATAAAAAATGTTTCCTCTTAAAAGTCATTATTTTAGAGAGTTCAAATTACAAAATATTTTACAAAATTCATTTTGTGTTATTTAGGACTTATGTCATTTTATATTTTATTTTGTTTCAATGAAATTTCCACTAAAATGATATCATTGTTTGCAATAATTTCTTCTTTTAAGGCTTTCAACTTCCAGCACATAAGAAACTAAAAGAATTTTGTTAATTAATCAAACTTAACCTTTTCCATATTCATTCTGAATCATTAATAAAATATATTCTGCCAAAAAAATTGATGATATTTAAAAAGTGATATAATTTACTTAGTACATTTTATTTTTACTATACTTTTTCAAAATTAAAGTTTACAACATGTGAAGTCAGATTGGATTTGATGGTATAAGAACATAACTACGGAAGTACTCACTTTGACATTGACAGTTCATGTAGTAAAAACAGACCTTTATTTCATCCAGCTCTGTGTACACGCTTCTGGAATACCACCAAAAAATACCATGGTCATGAAACATCTTTTCTGACCAATCAGAAAAAGGTCGTTTTCACAGCAGCCGTTCTGAACCACTGACCGACTAAAGCTAACATTGTTTCCATCTACCTGCAAAGGGTTGATAAGCTGTAGAAAACAAATCAATCAATAAAAAGCTGTTTCCACCCATGAAGGCAGATCTGACCAGGCTGGTATTAGTGATGGATCCATGGCAGGCAAAAATCAACAGGGATGCATTCAGCCAGCAACAAAACCAGCAGCAGCAGCAATAATTTGTTAAATATTTCTCTCACAAGTCTATCTTGCTCAACTACATATGTGTGTTGATTTTCTCCATGTCTATCTCAACTACTACCTTGTGTTATACCCTGTGCAAACTCTGTCTCCCACAACTGATATACAACCCAGAATGAGTAAATGATCGAATGTTGTAAATCACAGAAAATAAAATCACTTTCACTTATCTAAACCATGCATTATCTCCATTTGTTGTTTTGTCACTACCATTTTTTTTTTTTTTAATGGTAAGGTAGCCATTACATTCTTATTTTATGTAAAACTTAAGCTAAGGTAAAAAAAAGTGTTCAGTATTTATCAAACCAAGTAACTAAAAATAATATGCTATTGCTTTTATTGACTATTATTTGTGCCCATTTAGAATATAGTCTAAAAATCTATACTAAAAAAAATAGTTTTATCATATCTGATTAAAAGAATATTCTTGGCATTTAAAAAATATATATTGCATGTTTGTTGCTGACAGCTAGAATTTAAATGAATTAGTGACAATAAGGTTATTAAAAATTAGCAATTTCTTGGAGCAAATCATTTATGAGAGTCATAAGATGGCCAAATTAGAAATCAGGAAAGATTCTGAACAATTTGAATATGTCCTGATAACAGTCCCAGTCCAGTTTCAAATGTCAGTAATTCCTCTAAGCAAGTAAAGTTCAAATGAGAAATCACAGCAGTTTAAATAGTATCAAATGGCCCATCCACCCTGTGCAGAAGGGGGATACAAATCTATGCTCCTGCTGCTGCCACTGCTAATAGGAACTGTTAGTTAAGTTAGGGAGGGGGAGATATCTGGTTATACCAGTTACAATAAACAATAGTTAACATGTCTATTTGGCAATCTAGTATTTTAAGAATAAACATTTAAACATATGAAAGTACAGTATTTTTATAAACTATAAAAGCAGTGTGTTTGTGTTTCTCAGTGCAATCTGTGGGATTGTAGCAATTTTGCTAGATCAGTAAACTCTTAGACTTTTTCTGCTTAACAAGAAAAGTCAAAACAAACACATCTGGTCATTTGATATTCTTTGTCATATAAATGTCAACACTTTTCTAGGAAGATAAGAAGACACATTCTTGAAAGTTTCATCTGTAAAATTAGGAAAAATGTTTATATACATTTTTTAATCTCAGCACAATCATTTTTCTTCATATATTCATAATGTGCAACATCTACAACACTATTATTTGAATTTAAAGTGTCTAAAATGCAAATTAATCTTTTAAATTTACATATCTAGGTAGAATTCACTTTTTTAAATTATTGTATATGGTTGCTTTAGACTAATTACTTTGTTTGTTTTTCATGTTTTAAATATGTGCCCTCTAAGATTACTCAGGTATCTAATGGGTTCTAGAATGTTGAATCTTTTTCTAAAAAAGTATGTACATCCACTCTGATAGAATTGTCTGGCATTTGTGTCTGTCTTCTCTGAACATTTATGCTGAACTTGGGTATGAGAAGGATGAGCTTCCTCCCTCAGAACAAGATTGGCAACATTACAAAATACAATAGAGACCCAAGGATAGCTAAAGCATACACAGTTAAAATATGGGGGGGGGGACAAAGAAAGCAGCCTGAATCAAACATATACAGTAAGTAAAACACTCCATCTAGCAAAGTTCAGATAAGTCATTTTTTTTAATTAGGTCATCAGTTTTTCCTTTATAATTTTAAGAGAAAATAAAGCAGTATATTCTTAATTTCAATGCAATGTATTTTTGAAATTCAAGTTGATTTCATTGTTATAAATACTTGTCTAGTCTGATCAGCGCTAAGTAAATTTACTAGTTTTAAAAGTGTTACTGGGTTATTTGTAGTTAAAATACTGGTTGGGAATTAGATGTCAGCCTAATAAATAATTTTCTCTAAAGATAAAAATCATTTCTCAGCTTCCACAGTAAATATCTTTGACTTGTGTGTGTGTGTGTGTGTGTCATTTGTCCTGTCCTGCATTTAGCGTATCTAAAATATCATATATCTTCCTTTTTATGATGAGGATTGAATTCAGGCTCTAAATAAAGATTTAATTTCATAAACACCATTTGCTTCTCTAAACATGTAAAATAATGTCTATTTGCATCTGTTGATAAAAGGCTGTAAACAAGAATATCATTTTTCTTAGTGACATTACTTCTAATATTATGGCATTTATTTAATGAAAATAAATTTGTATCTCTAAACTTCTTTCTTAAAATGCTCAACAAACTAATTTCAGTCAAATTGTATATGTTTTCTGCTTATTTATTTTTGAATAACTTAACAGATGATCTCATTTTTTAAAAAGAGAAAAATCATAAAAACATGTTTGATTCTGAATATTTTTTCAGTGTAATTAAAAAAAAAACAATTAGTCACAAGCAAACTGATAAAGAAGAGAAATAGTTGAGAAGATTAATTAATATTTATTTTTTTTCTATTCTGATTTTAGGAATTTTTAAAAGGCAGCTTTAAATTATATGCCTCTAAATACCCTCTAAATTAAAAAGAAAAACATTTATATAAAATATATACATTGGGTGTACTAAGAAAACAGAATTATTTCATTTACTCAGGATATTGTTACTAAAATGTTGCCTGTTATCTGATATTTTAATACTTGAAATATCTTTTGTCTGATAATATTTTAATATTGAGAATATATTGTGGATAATATCAGTTGTTGTCATCTTTCTTCATTCATATGTTGGCTGGTCCTACAAGTTGCTCATAAATTTAATCAGGATTTCATCAATTATCGTTAAGGAAGGTTAAAAAGAGAATGAAATCTTTTGTGCATTACAAAACAGCAGACACTGGCTTTTAGATGTAATAGTATCTGTCGATTTGAAATAGATTTGCTACTTTTTTTTGTTAAAAATACCTTCAGGATATACAATTTTTGTTTATTTTGTGTAGAGTTAAACTTGATTAGAATAAACGTTTTTCTTTTTTTTAAATGGGAAACTTTTAAGGTTAAAATGCTAAAAGCTGTTTTTATATGTATATAACATTGAAATCATACACACTACACTTTGATTCTAGACAATTGCATTGTTCTGTCACAAGATTTAAATAGATAATTTTTTTTTATGTTTGTCTCTTTCATTCTATTTTTTTTTTTTTTTTTTCAGATTTATTTTATCAAAGTTGGAGCAAAAAAAAATTAAAGAAATGATTCAAGAAAAAACTATTTCAAATAAGATCCTCAGTAGTTGTAAAGCTAACATGGTTTGATTCAAATATAAAAACTTAAAAAAATAAAAAAATTTTTCTCTCTAATTCTAAAACTCACAAAATTATTTCCACTTATGAATTTTTTTTTTCCTGTACAGATTGAAGGGAAACTTCCAATAGCTGCACGAGAGGAAGATACAGTGAAGTTAAACGTCTCTATCCATGGTATCAAAGTTCTAGATATGTCAGGCCAGGTAAAGTATTCAGAATAATTTTATATCTTCAATGAGTTGCAGGTCAAATGAGATCTTAAAACATAAATTAAGAAGCATAAATATATATATATATATATATATATATATATGTCCTAAATAATTACTTTTTAATTATTTTTAATTTATTTTAATTCTATTACTTCAAACGTTATTTTTAATGGATACCAGTATTTGAGTAGACTCTCCCTTTTTTTTAAACAGTGCATATTATATCTACTAGTCAGTCTGTGCACTCAAGAAAATTTGATAAACAAAAATGTGCTCCTTGGCAGGGTTCAAACCTGCATCCCTCTTTGTAGGAGAAACCACCATGCTTTCAGCTACTTGGCCATGGAGAGCATTGCAGCTCGATGTCAAGAGTTTTTTGAAGATCATTTTTTATTTTGACTGAGCAAATAATTTATTACTACTTGTTATATTCTTCTCATTTGGTGAGCGTTGTACAGCATTGTACCCAATTATACCAAGTTATCTTCAAGTTAATATTCTATTTAATTTCTTAAAGCTAATTAACTTTGATACCCGCCCACCTTCTGTAATATAAACCCACACCTTTCTACATTTAACTTTGTTGAACATTGTCTCTTTGGTGTTTTCTCGCCCTACATGAGTAAAATGCCACCCATCTTGTTACATTTCTCCTTCACATCTGTTTTAACTCCCTTTTGTAAAATATACATTACTTGCTTTTATTTTACAATTCAAAATGCAACACACTGTATCTGTATATACCTGTATAATCAAAACATATTATTATATGGTGTAGTGTTTTTTTTACATTTTCATTCTGCAACAAAATTAGTATCTATTCTGAACTTTTGATTAGTTGAAATATCTCATAGTCCCCATATATGGTATTCAGCTTTTTCTTTTCATCTAACACTTCAAAGATGTAATAATCATTAAAATGCATGCAATTTTTCTTTTTCTTTTTACTTTTTTCTGCTTCATTCATGTAAATAGCTAATATAGTTTTATCTTTCTCCATTTCAACACATACATCCTTTTGTTTCAATTTGTACTCTAGTACTCCACCTGTCCTCTGTCATTTATGTTTTGGTAACAACCCTCAGGCATCCATATTTAGGGCTGTCAATCTCAGTCACTCCTCTTCATTTGAAGTGTGGTTACAGCTGGTCCTTCATCTGTGTCATTCATCAAAGAGGAATCTTTATTGCAATCATCTGTTTATCCTTATCAACACCACCATGTGTCATGGACAATAATGCTATTCCACCTGTTGCCTGATCACTTTTAATAGAACCTTTGTCTGTTACTGATTTTAATTTGTCTAACAACTGCTACAGGTCCATTTGCTTCATCAGACCATGCAATTTTATATGCTTTTACACTAGAGAATTCTTTCACCAGGGGTTCTTATAAATCTCTCTAATTACTTCCATCAAGTCTGTGAGTGCCAGGAAGACATCTTTTGTCTCATATTTCTCCTCTGTCTGATAATCAGTCTGGAGAGTGATTGATTCACCAAAAGATCCCAAAGATAACCCAAAAATGATCAATAAAGGTGTCATTTTTACTGATTCTTTTAGTTTCACTTTCAGCACCTTTGGCCATTCTTTCTTTTCCTCCCCAAACTCCATTTGATAAATTCACAACCTGTGGAAGCATTTCTTTTGTCATTATTTCAGCCTAAACTCTCTCTTAATTAGTGCATTGTCTCCTTTAAACACAATTCATAGGTGCTACTCACATCTATAAGTGCTACTCATATATATATAAGGCTTCTTGACAAAAAAGTTCCAAGTGCATTCATCCTGCACCCCATGTCTTCATCAGGGTTCAGTAGTATGAACTTAGTCTTTGCCACATTAAAGGCTATGTCCTCTGATTTGCACTTTTATCTAACAACAACTCCTTGCTTTCCACCTGAAATGAGATAGACGACTAATAGTTTTATTACATTTCACCTTCCCTGTTTAGCAGTTTGTCATTGTTCACCAGCCTAGTTGACTGTAATAGTCCTATAATCTATCCACAGGGTCAGCAGGTAATGTAAGATGATATGGTACCAAGACCAAATTTTAAGCAGTAATTTATTGAAATGTGCATTCTTTCGAAGTGTGAAAGTTTCTGAAATGTGCAGGGGCCACTCTGTTATGTGACAAGTATTTCAGTTAGAGTTGTAGTTTAGTAAACTGTCAGATCAGTCCAGCTAGATTCTCTGATCCTCAATTGTGAAGCTCATCACCATTTTCCTGATTCACCAACTAAACGTCCTGAATTCTTACTCTGTCAATAATAATGACTAACATCTCTCCAGAACAAATTTTTTCTTTCAGCTGATATAACTCACAAATTCTGCAAACTTTACTTTTCTGCTTGATATCAACACGTATTTTACAGTTCTCTTTCTTGGTGAAGCTTCATCCTTTTTTTTTATAAAGAATTATTTGCTTGTTGTTTTGATTGCTTAACTGGGCAAAAGAATCAGAATGACAAAAACAAGGAGGCACTTACACACATCCAGAATAGCATTGTTCTTTACCATGTGCTCAGTGATATACAAATGCCAATTCTCACTCCAACCACTACCCACTTTAAAGCAGTGGTAGGGATCAGGCGAACACCACCTAGATAGGAGGCCTGTTTAATTAAATATGATGTCACCACAAGTAGCATAAGCCGAAGCAAAGCTGATAGAAATTAATGATTGTAGACTTTATTTTAAGTACAGAATACTTTTTTAATTACAATTTTTAAAAAAAACGGGGTTCAGATTCCATCTTAGAACTTTATTCAATATTAAATTATAAAAATAAAGAAAAAACAAGCAAATAATATTATTATAAAAACGTTTTATTCTGTAAAGTTATGATACTGACAATTGAAATTGACAGAATCATTTTTCATTAGATGGAGAAAAGCAAACCAGGGTTCAATTTCTACCTTACATCTTTAAATAAATAAAGAACAAACAATAAATAGATAAAAAATCTGTTTTTATTTTAATGATTATTTCATAAAGTTACTATATTGACAAAGAATATTTTTTTATATTACAATTACATTAAAAAAGAAAGAAACCAAGTTTCAATTTTTACATTAGAATAAACTTTATTGTCTAAAGGAAAATTATTTAAAGTTTTACATTTGTTGCTATGTTAAAGTAAATGTTCTACATTTCATTATTAAATTTAAAGACTGTAAAATTCCTTATTTTGAGTGTGTAAAATTATTTGAAAACTATTTACAATAAAAAAAATCAACATGTTTTTAATTTGCATGTTTTATTTTAATTATTATTATCTAAATTTTGTTCCCTGCTACTTCATCCCAGTTAATTTTTAAATTCTTTAAATCAATACTTTGGTTATTAAGTTGCACACTCAATTTTAAAACTGACATCATTATTTTTTTTTCACACTTAAACACTTGACGTATAGATATATTGATCTCCAAGTTGCCAGTACTGGCAAAATTTATCCTCAATATAATCTGTTTGAAATTTACCAAGTAATGCATACATCATTTTAAATTCTCCTGTGCAATATTTGGCTTATACTACTTGTGGTGTCATCACGCTTAACCAAACAGGCCTTCTATCTAGGTGGTGTTGATCAGACTAACTCTGGTCTATTTTTACTCAGGAGGAGTCATTTCCCTTTTTCTTGTCTGCTTGTCTCAGTTATCTCTCTTGGGAAGAGTCTCTTTTCACTCCTTGTGCTAAATATTTTTGAAAGTGCTTTAAGTCTGGACGTCTACAAATTAAGATTAATTTAAAAATATTAATGAAAGAGTCACTGTTTTTAACTTCTTTTTTTTCTGTCAGGAAATGATCTGAAATATTTTTCCTTGATAAAATGTTGAAAATCATAAGTAAATTCCAATAAATGTAACAGCATGAACAATCCAAGTTCTAACCATCTTTTCAGTGATTTCAATCAAGCTTACCCAAACAGATCTTCGATCTAGGTGGTGTTGATCAGACTAACTCTGGTCTATTTTTACTCAAAGGAGTTGTTCCTTCATGAAACCATAAATCTTAAATATGTTATTTACTTGATATATGTTATAAATGTGGCCTAAACTATTGTTGTATATTTATGTCTTGTGAACTGTATGAATTGAAACTTTTATCAGATACAATTAACCATATGGAATTTTCTTTTATTTCCTTTGTTATGTTGTCAATGACCAGATAAAAATAACTGTCTCTTAACTATTTACTGTAAATATAATGTATCCAAGTTGAAATCACTGAAAAGATGGTTAGAACTTGATTAGCACATCGAATAAGCAGTTGATTTGAATATAGCATTGAGCATTCAAATTTATGCAACAGTTCACTTGTATAAATTTGTAAATTTAAGGAATAAACTAATCTAGTTTCTTTATTTTTTTTTTCAAAAAAAGAAATTAGCTACTACTCTCAGCAGATCATAATACTTTATTATTATTTTTTTTTTTTTCATAGTAGGTTTTTAAATATGAAGTTGATTAAGCCTGAATCAATTTAAAGTCGAATAATTATATGCAGTATATGTAAATGATAACAGAGAGGAAATAGGCAAAGCGTAGTGATATGTAAATGACTGCCAAATTAGCATAGCTAAGGCATAGAGACTATATAAGTGTCCAAGCATTAAGGGGAAGGGTAGATTATGATATGCAAGATTGACGACTATTGCTGGACTAAGAAAATACGAAGGGAATAACATTTCATAACAAAGAAACAGGTTGAAAATGAACTCAATATTTTCATGATGTGGCATTCAAAAGTGCTGTTAAAATTCCTTCAAAAGATATGTTTTTTAATATTTAAAGAAATTAAAATAACAGTAATTCCTGTACCGTTTTTTAATATCCACTTCTGAAAATGTGTAATATCTATCCTCCATTAGGTTGATTCCCGACCAAAATGTTAGAAAACCCAATAAACGAAATCTTCACTGAAATAAAACTTCTTGTAACATTCTTTTCTTGTAATTTCAGGAAGTTTTGCAAAGACATCCCTTGCACACAATTGCTCAGATTATTCAATATCATGATGACTTTAAGCATCATAATGTTGCTGTCAAAATTGGCCAATTTAGTAAGACAGTTTTTCACTGTTTTGTGTTCCAGTGTGTATCAGAGGTAAGTATAGAATCAGAAATGGATAACTAAATGGGGGAATTTTCTGAACAAAAGATCCATTCAACAATTAACCAAAAACATAGGAAAAGGATTTTTGGTAACTGGGGATTCTGTTTTACAAAAAAATAGGGTAATGAAAGTGACTGGCACCATTTGAGATGGTCTATGTGTGTATACATGTGCAGTTTTGTGTATATCAAAAACTTTTCATCTAGCTATAATACTTGCATAGCAAACACATGCACACTGTAGATAATAAAAATAACATGCTGGGTCTTTGATGGTATTTCTTGGGGCAATCTGCATTACTCTGTGGTGTCCATCACCTGTATAAATATTAAGAAATGATCTCATTATTTACACTATTTACATTGTGCTGACTGCTGTCCTCATCTTTGTTGCCATATTCACAACATTTTGTCTGTTGTCTGCTCCAGCTTTCTTCCAAACTGAACCCTTTATTTTGTCCACCAAGGTAGATTGTTCTAGTTCTACATGCCATGGCTCTTCTGGATGTCTCAGTATTGGTTATCTCCTTTTCTACAAGTTTTTTTTGTTCACCTCAGCTGTAACCAGGTATTGAACTCAAACTCTTTGTGTCAAGTCACTGGATTCAACCAAAGCTTTTATCCACTGGGCCATGTGTCCTCAATCCAGTTAGAGTCCCAATGGGCAAATAATGAACCCCTGAAATAGGATCAAAACAATATGAAAATATAAAAATACATTTTATAGTAAAAATACCAGCAATAGATTTTAATATTAAATAAAAATTACCAAAACTCCAAAGAAAATTAAATTTTGGCATTAAATGACCCATAAAGAGTTGATATGCCATTAAACAAACAAACATCCTCATTCCCTTTTTATTCCATTGGTAAGGAGGAAGTTCTACTCAACTTCTTCCCCAGAAGTCTTGCATTGTGGAATGGATGCCTGAGAGAATGCTTCCCTGATTGCTACAATCTTAACTTCTTCAAGTCTAGGGTCAACTAATGTCTATCCAGCATATTCTCATATGCACTTTTTCTTCTCCCCCTCCACCACAGTACACTTTAAAACAACCTCATTTAATAATTATCTGCTTTGAGTGGCTCTTGGTCCTTGTGTTGGATAAACAACAGTTAAAAACAACATTTGCAAGAAAGAAAATAATTTTTTTTCTAACCATTTCAGTTCAAGCAGTTGTAAATCAAATGTTCAACAACAAAAGAATTATTGACATGTATCAATATTTTGAAATTAGAATTTCTGGTCTCTTCTGTCCCATAAAACCAATATTCAGTTTCCATTTCTCTTTCTATAATAGACATTTATGTATAGGCAGAAAAAGTTATGTATATACAAAAAAACAATAAAAAATGTATCAGAAATGTTTTAAGAATATCTTTTACTTTTCTTTGTTTTTGTTTTTGCAGGATCAGGCACAAAATATTTGCCAATGTCTTCGGAAATTGTTTGATGCCATAACAATGAATATAACGATGGAATCATAAGCTGTCTCAACAAAAAGACATTGCTGCTTGTTCAAGACTTTCTATCATTCTTCCAAGAAAAAAAAGTATAAATTTCATTCTTCAGGTGATAAGAAAAAATAATTAAACCAACCACAATTGAAATACATTCTATAAGGTGGCAAATAGAAGGTTTTGTAGTTGGTTGCATGGTAATCACAATATTTTGATGGTGATCCCCACACCCACAACTAGAAAAACAAAAGTTCTTATTTTTATTAAGCTAGGTATCACAAATTTTACAAGTAAATGAATGTGTTGACTACTAATATGGTAAGATTATGAACACTACTTAAATTAACTAGTCTGCTTGTAAAAAACAGAAGAAATTTGTTTTTAAATAATTTTTATGGATTAGCATTCATTAGACCTTCTTCTACCCAAAACATTTATCATAATCAAAAAATATTGTTTTTTGTTTGTTTTTTTTAATCATTTTAGAATGAGAAATCGTGTTCATAAAATAAATATGGTCTCAAATTGGTCTTTTTACTTTGTTTTTATTTACAAATTTCAAGCTTGAAACTGTTTGTCATTGATAACTGTATACTATTACAAATTGGGGGAAAAGGACATCAGTAATACACAGTTATCAGTGACATAAGCATAGTTTCAAACCTTGACATTGTAAATAAAAACAAAATACACATAACTGTTTAAAGCTTTTTTTTTTTTTTAAAAATGCTAATAATGTTCTAAATATGTTGAATATAAAATCTTGCACTGATTTTTGTACTATCTGTTCTCATATTGCTTATAGCTTAGAATTTCACCTTTTATACATTTACTTGCTGAATTGGAAATTCAAGTTTCTATAGAAATGTTCACTTTTTCTTTTTTCTTTTTTACTGATACTGACCTTTTTGTACCTTGAAATAGCTGTTTCCATGGTAAAATTAATGTTCTACTAAGTCTCTGGAGAAGTTTCAAAAACCTTCTGCTCTTTAATCTGACTCAGTTTAATACTATTTACACATCATTGAACCAAAGAGTTCATGGTAATTAATGAACATAATCTAAAATTTTTTTAAAAATGTATTATTTTTAAATACATTTATTAATAAAAATAACAAAATTACTGTTTTCCTTAAAAGCAAAAATACATTCATTGTTGAAGATATACAAATCTTTATCTTTTGCTTATAGCGAAAACAATAATAATTATAGATAATTTGTAAATACTCAAAAGGCCATGTTAAATAGATAATTGTGTGTGTGTGGCTGTGTAATATTGAAAGCAAGCAAACTTTTGCTTCATTTCTTTATTTTTATGTCTCAGTGGTTGGTGTGGGGGGGTCATAGAAACAGGCAGTATTACTAACATAAAAACAAATCTTAACTGTAATAAAATATAAAGAAGTAATGATCTATCAAGTGCTAATCAAAAAAAATTTACACTTGGAATGCTGTAAAATAAAGCAGTAGACACACTGGTTTATTTAATCTATATCCCCCTGGTGTCAGCTTAAACTTACATATTCTTGCTTTCCGTATAATTTTTGAAAGTGAAAATTCCACTGAAATATGTTGAGAAATTTCCAAGTTTTCATCTGACAACAGGAAAGCATAGATCATGTTATCTTCGATTTTTTTGTACATTAATTTTTTGGCTTACTTTTTTTTTATTTTCATTGCTTTTTATAAAATATGAAAAAAAAAGAATAATCCACAAAGCTTCAGCTAAAAATTCATAGATTATTACTACCATTTTGTATATTATTGAGATTATTCTCCCTTGTATTGGTTTGATACCATTTCCAATTATTGTTTTAAGATTTAAAAGATTTTATTGAAAAAAAAACATCATTTTAAATTTCAGAAAACTTATACATAAGCATGACACTCTTTACTTCAGGCCAACTCATAGTGCGGCTCAGGAGCAGAACTAGAGACCTATTTCAAATCTTGTTGATTTTTAATTTTAGTTTGGGTTTGCAGTAGTTTGCTGGTGTAGTCAGCTTAATAAATTCAAAGAAAAAGTAGAGATTAAGATCATGATTAATTTGGTTTGTAAAGTTAATCCTCTTTAAGTATATTTTTTTATTTTCTAAGGTCTTATTACAATTAATATATAATTTAGCAGAGCTTCAGATCCATCACGTCCCACCCTGTTTACAAGGATGTATAGAATGTTATATGCATTTTTTAGTCTTTGAATTAATTATCCACCTTAAGACTGTTTTAATTAAAAAAAAAACTATATTGGAACTATGAATTCTGGAACAAGAATATGACCTGAAACAAAATGAATATAAAAGTACCTTATTTTGTTTATGTTGTGATATGTAAATGACTGCCTAATTAGCTAAGGCACAGAAACTATATATGTTCACAAGCAGTAAGAATAGAATACAAGTAACACTTTATTTAAGAAACACTTATATTTTTTTCCATTTATATTCTTAGTATTCTATACAGAAAGAATGCATACCTAAAAAAAAAAAAAAAAAAACTTAAAAAATTTGAGGTAAAAATGTGATATTTTTTGGCAAAATTTAAACATTTCATACAGTAAAACTTCTTTATATAAGAAGAATTAAAATAATTTCTTTTATTTTTACCTTTTAATTTTTCCCTATTTTTGTTTACTTCATAATTTTTTTTATCTGAAAAATTGAAACCAGAATGTAGTGTGTCTTAATCCCCCAACTATATATACAAAAAAGCTGCTTTAAATTAATAAATTATATAATGGTGATAAATAAGAAGTACAAATTAACTTATTAGATATTTTGCATGTGTCCAGCCTTTTGTTTGTAATAAGAAAGGCACCATCCACTGCTGACCCTCATTTATCGTTCACAATAGGTGAGTCCATTTTATATATATATATATATATATATATATATATATATATATATATAGGAAATGGGTTAAATATGACAGTCATTTTTAATTTATTTTGTTTAAATGTTATTTTTTAGGGATACTCATGTTCAGTAGAAGCTCTGGTATTTTTAATTAAACAGCTTTTGTTTTTTGTTTTTAAATTGAGCAGTATTTTTTATCTAGCTATATCTACTGTCTTGAATATTCAAGAAATCAAGTCAGAAAAATATGTCCTCCAGCAGGATTTGAACCATCATTGGATCTGATGTGCCTAACTGCTCGGCCACATAGGACTTCCAGTCAAGCTGGTAAATGTAGTTGGATAAAAAACACTGTTTAATTAAAGCTTCTACTTGAATATGACTATCCATCAAAAACAACATTTAAACAAGATAAATTAAAAATAAGAATATGTTGGATTTAACCCATTTCTTAAAAATATTTATATATATAAATTAAATTCTTGGCATACACTGACTGACCACTACTGGAAGTTTCATGCTGTTATGCAGTCGTAGGATGCCTGACAATTGCTTATAAAAATAAAACAGACTGTTGCAGCTGAGTGTTGACTTCAATGTCCACTTCTATATTTACAGACACTCTGGCCCTGATATTGAGCACTTTAGCCCACAAATATAGCATACTTTAAAACTATATTTTATCATATATATATATATATATATATATATATATATATATATATATATATATATATATATAATATAATATATTCATTCCTAATAAAATTAATATTGTTTTTAATAAATGTGAGTGAATGCTGAAGGCAAGAATAGATTCATCTAAATTCTGCTTTAAAAAAAAAAAGTCAAGGACCAGTAAAAAAAAAAAAAATGATTTAAAAAAGAAATTAATTTACAAGTAAAAATTCTAAATGGGTTTTTGTGGTCTCTGGCAGTTTTTATTTTTTTAAACATATTTTTTCTAATCATTTATTTTATTTAACTATTAATGTTGAATTTGTTACCAAAAATTGAGTGAGATATCTATATATATATATATATATATATATATATCTATCTATCTATCTATCTATCTATATATATATATATATATATATATATATATATATATATATATTAGTTATGTCTGTTGTTTATATCTGTGTAATGTATATTTGTAAATGTGTATATAAATTTATATCTCTTTAAAAAAAAATATTGTTTGCTATTATTTAACAAAGGCATTAAATTGACAAATAAATTGGATTTTGTTAAAATAATTGTTTTGTCTTTCTTTAACAGTGTTTAATTTATCAATGTTTCTGAATGGCATGTCATAAAGTGGCTCAGGTGTTCCCATTCAGGTCTCTTTTATCTTATCCAAAACCAACCATGAGTCTTTAGGCATTGCTAGTGAGTTGCTTCTCAATTTCTTAACTCCACTTTAAAATCCAGTATTAATTATAAAATTTAAAAATAAATCTGGTATTAATTATATGCCACATAAAAATGAGATGCTAGGCATTACTGGGTTAAAACAAAATTGCTGTATTTTCTACCATCTATTGTCATTTTTTTCCCTGCAAAAACATTTTGTTTCAAACATTATCCATAAAAGGTTATGGCTTGGGCTTGGCCTACAAGTTAATGTAATAAGTACTCACCCAGTTCTTTTCATAAGCAAGGCCACAGATCTTATAATGAGATATGTATGCCTTCTATTATAACGTTTACCAACATATGGCCAAAATCGGCCATGGCAATTTTCAGATAGGCCACATAAATTTTATAATTGGATATATAAAAGGAAAGTAATTTTTTACACCATAACAATTTCATGGGCCCCCAAAAAATTCTGGTTTCAAGGTGGGCCATGAATTAAAAATGGTTAGGAACCCTGCTTTATATGACAACAATTTAATTATTAACCTAAATATTTTAATAACTATTTAGTTGTCAATCATGATTTAAAACACAAGGTAGAAGTGAACCCAACAACAATCACTAAAAATCTTTTAATAGAGCTAAAATCAACAAAAGTCATTACATTATTAATAAACTTTAAACATGCAGTAGATTAAAAATGAAAATACTTTTGATACATTCTCATACAACCTCATACAGTCCTATTTATTTCCCTGGAAATTACAACAGGGAAGACAATTATTTCCCAAACAAACCATTATCATT